AATATTCAGGGCCATGCAGGATTAAATACCTGATATACCTATATAGAGTATTACTGTAACTAAGGGCACAGTATATACAGTAGCGCAACTCTCTGTCGGCACTTTTGATGTTAGCGTGGATGAAAATGAACTGCACATGCGCGTGCGAGGTATGTAACCAATCAGAGCACCGATAATCTGTCTCACTTCCTCTCACTGTTATAAGTCTCTCTCTCTTTTTAATTTATCGTTCGTGTCAGACGCGCGCGTTTTGATTGGGATAATGTATGGAAACGCATGTTTGACGTGCGTTATAACGCGCAGAAACGCATGCATAAACAACAAGGGTTACATTTGAGATAGAAATAAAACATAATGTACAACCAGACGCGCGCTATATATTCATTTATTGGCACTATATATTTTATAATTATATATATATATATATATATATATATATATATATATATATATAGGTTAGGTATATACAAAATACAGATAAATTTTAATAATTTGTATAGCAATTGTACAAATGTGCCATATTACTTCTTCGTGTTATACACGAGTTGTATAACACAAATCAATAAATTATTTATGCTATCAATATTTAAACGGTCACAAAAAGAAATATCAAGGAAATATTAAGAAAATTATATAATACAACTTGTAACTTAATTTTATCTAAAATATAAGTAGAAAGGGCTGTAAGGGTCACAACGCGGATCACAGCCCATGTAGCACAACAGCGCCTGAAAAGCGTTTTGAAAGCGCTACTGCGGGTGCAGGAATTCAGCGCTTTTTTAGCGCTTTAGAAGCATATTACCGCTTTAAAAGCGCTTTCAAAATCCACTAGAAAAAGCGTTTATAAGCGCGTAAAACCAGCGCAGGAAAAAATGCAGTTTTATAGCGTTCAAAGCGCGCTCAAAATTTGTTCAAAAAGCGCATTATAAGCGCATTATAAGCGCGTAGATTAATATAGTGTGGGAAACGTTATTGAAATAAATATTCATAAAATAATACATAATATTATGTATTTTAATACTGATTTGTTACAAATTGGTTGAAATTTTTATGGCATTTAACCGTCGATAGTTAATTGATAAGCATTCTCACATGTCAAACATAATTGGGAATAATCTATTTCAATTTTTTTTACGAACTTTTGCGATACAAAATAAAATAAAATGCTTCTGCGCTGCATTTACGGATAGCCGTGCGAATATCGACTCATCTTGGTTATAACCACTCGTGTATATAGTCCTGCTTTCGTTGTTACCTCTTGTCACCTGTAAAACTAATTTTTACATTTATACCTGTAGTTATAGAATTTCATATATTTTCCTTTGACAACCTCTATTTTGACATTGCAAAAAACATAACAAAAAAGTATCTGTACCTACAGGGGAAGTAATCGACCTTTGAAAAATTTTTATTATCTTGGCAAATCAACATTATTTATGGCTCTCCTCTTTGAATTACTTCGAAGCCACGTACTTATGAAGCCTGTGACTTTTGATCTCGAAAAATTTCTTTTATATTGTTTGCCACATGCATCTGAAAAAAGATTTAAAAAATTACAATATTATGCATGAGAAATACTAAATACAGGATTTAAGTTGATAAGTTAATCATCATATTTATTAAGAGTAGATCAAGTGTATTTTAAGGGGGGGAGCCTCATGCAACCAGTAAAAAAAATCTAAAAAATTTTATTGCACAAATCATTAGTATAATATCTCTAGAATATGTTCCCACAAAGTTCCAGAGCGAAATTCGAACTTGAAATAGGCGATTTTATACCTGAGCGTTACGCAAGTAAAGCGCGCGCTCCGAGAACTTGAAACTTTAAACGCGTTTTTCTCAAAACCATGTTTTTCAAATTGGCGTGCAAGATTACTGATAAACTATTCGACCAATCGACTTGCCCTTTGGCATGCATGTAGATAACTAAATACCATTGTCTTTAAACCTACTTGTTTAGTCATTTTACATGAGGCTCCCTCCTTAAGACACAGCAGGACTGAAAGTAAGAGTTTCATGTTTCTTTCTCAACATTTTCAATAATTTACCAATAATGCACTTACCACACTTTAGTGACTTGATTCCTTTTTTTATCTCTGTCCCTGTTCAATTCAGTTGTAATGCAACCTCAGGAGAGAAAATCTTCTTACATATACTAGTAGCCATTTCTCTTTCGTGTATCCCTCTCCCAGCTACAACACTAAAATGGGATACCTGTACAGAAAAAAAAGTTATTAGCAAAAAGTTATATTGATGTGCTTTTTAATATTCTTTAAGTATGTAATTACAAAGAAAAGTCACTTAAGATTTGAAATTAAATTAAAGAAAATACTACAAAAAAATAATATGAACTAATGTTATATAACAATCTGTCTACTGTATATGGATGTAGCTTATCAGAAGTACAGAATTCGAAAGATAGTAAAAGATGCAACGCTAATTTAGAACGATAAAGGATATTATTGTTATATTAATTGAATAATACATATTGCGGAATTATGCACTAAAGAATTAACATTGAGCTATTAATTATATAGTCTGGACAATATATTTATCAAATGATTGACAATAAAATGTTAT